CCCTGGGGGCAAGCCAGATGTGGGTTGTGCTGGGCAGATAACCGCACCTGGGCAATTCGCCATTGTCCATGTAACAGTATCTACATTTTTCCGGACGAGGGGCAAATGCCCCCTTACCCCCTTACCCCTATATAGCAACATCCCTAAGCAAATGACCTAGGCCATAATAAAAATATTGTTTGTTTGCCCTCACCCGACCGACCTGCCAAAAAGGGGCCGACTCAAAATTTTTTATTGATCTTTCCCATTCTTTTTTTTACAAATTGTATCACTGTACATTATATAAATCTGTAGGCACCACATTATATCAGGAGGTAATGAGATTATGGATTTAAGAGAGATGGATTTAATTTGTCTCATTAACTCCTGATTATATGTACCAAGCAAAACAAACGTTTAACATAACAGGTACTTCCACACAAGCACATCTGAGCATGTAGACACCATGCTGAATTTGTAAAAAGATCCCCCTCAAAAAAAAGAAGCCTACCTACCTACCCAAACTTTTCAGCCTGGGTCGGATGAGGGCAAACAAAGATTTTTTTTAGTTGCGACCCTACCTCCTGTTGAACACGGTAGGAGGTGACAGGCCCTAACCTCCACCCTGCGGCCCGCGCAGTCTCTGCCGGAGTTACGTGGGCGGGGGTTGTTGCACTCCCTCCGTCGCTCCCTCCTGCCTGCTCCGCAAGATGCGCTACACACTTGCCATTCACCCCAACTGCTCCAGCCTCCTGCCACTGTAATGACCGAGACGCAGACTCATGAGATATGATGGATGTCATGAGGTATGATAGATCTACCAGTGTAGCCCCCCTTTACTCCCACTACACGCACAGGTCTGTAAAGACTTTTTTAAACATCTCTAGAAGTTATTATCAACGTGTGATTTCTTAACGATTTATCAAGCAGCTCAAAATAAAGATAACATACATAGTAAAGATACATTAGTTTACGATTGCGATCTACATAACAAGTGGCTTACCAGGACAATCTTTCGATTGCTTTCTTTTTACACATATGTATGTCTGGTAGAGAATATTCTGAAAGGAACGGGATAAGTAAATATAAATAAGGAGCCTAACAGAAATCACACAAACAATTACAAATCGAGGCTGCAGTCTCACACAAGATTACATTGCATCAATGATCTATGTAACCACAGTTTTATAGTATTCAAGATTCAAGATCTTGAATCTTGAATCTTGAATCTTATCCAATTACCCAGTTATCTTCGTTTGCTTTTCCTTCTTTCATACGAAAGCCCTTGACGTCATCAAGGGTGCACACGTTCTCAGCCTCAATGCAAGCATTGATGAAGCGACTCCTTTCTTCCTTCTCCAAGAACAGCATCTGCTGGGCCAGGTTGCGAGGCATCCCAACCACGGTTTTAGCTTCCACAGCTGGCAAAATGTTACAGATCATGTTTTGTGCATGAAGCATATTTCCTTATAAAAAGCATCTCAATACGAATCTGTTAGATAGCACTATTACATAGTATTTGAATTAAAATTGATAATACCAATTAAAAGCCCATGATTAACTAATGTGTTTTCACACTGAACATTTCATGCTCTAAATTAAATAAATTATAATAAAAAATGTACTTACCACTAACAGCATGAATACCAGGTAGAGTTGCTAAAAAGACTAATGCGATCCAGCTGCACAGATTCATTTTCCGCAAAAAGTTTTACTACGATTCAGACATCAGAAGTGGTGGCTACAAACATTGTGTCATTATTATCAATAGTTGGGCTTAGAGGTCTGTTAAAATGTAATTAGGCATGTAGAATATAGCTTAAAATGTGAAACATTAAGAATGTAGAACTTTTTATTGTTATCATCATTGTTATCTGCATTGTTTCTTACATCTTAAATGTAGGTTTGATGTGCAGCTTTCCAATTTCCTATTGATCTAGCATATATACCCCCAACACCAATCTTTCTCTCTTGGTCTTAAGCTACGTATGGCATTAAACAGAGCAACCTATTCGCTTTCTTAAAGTGTCAGCTAGGATCGAAAAATTCGAGTATAAAAATAAAAGCAGTTTGAAAATATACTCGGTGCAACTTGGTGACAGATACAGACATGATACTAACAGGAGATAAATGGCAAGGCCTATGTTGTAACAACTCAAAACAGGTATTGTAATGAATAATAATGAATGAAACATGTATATTATTTGAATCACCATTATATAACATTATTAACCATAAAACAAACGTCGAAAAACAATACTTGTTTTCGCTAACAAGCCAACAAGTTCTGCAGGAACTCTTTCCTGGAGCCCGCTAAGTTACACTCACAATTCCTAGTATTGAATTTTTCTACAATCTACTTGTTATTTGTCTTCTTCTTCCTAATCACATTTAGCTAATTCTGCTCGCTGCATGCACATGCAATGCCTGTAATCTATTACTACAGTCATCCCTACAACAGGCTGCATGAGTAGGCTGACAAACTTATTTCATGCACAATCCCATATCTGCCACTATTCATCTGTATCTTCTGTCTATTCTCACAGTGTACTTCATTTGCACTTTTAGTGCATTTTGTACTCATATAGAACATTCAGGAGCACATTTCACTGAGTTTCCAAGACATCAGATTACCATGCACATCTTCGCCAATGACAGCTTCACTCAGCCAAATATCTCTCATGCCTGGGACAGCACCGAAACCTTGATAGTTAATGACGATGTTGCTCTGAACTGACTCGAACAAAACTACGCGCTTTGCACGAGTGACGAGCACCACTAGCAAATCATTGTCGCGACGGCACACTCGAAAGACAATCCTCAGCAACAAAGTACCACAGATCGAGTAGACATTTTGGCGTGAGCCCGTGAGAAACACGAGTGCGTACACGCCAAGTGAGCTTGACTGAGCTAGCGACAACATCCCAGGCAGCAGGGCATCGTCATCGTTATCGTTATCTCGCTCGCGGACGGACAAGTGAATCAGGAAGCCCAGTCACGTCGTCGCCTCGACGACGCTCGCGGGATGCTGCGATGATGCGTCGTCGACGGTCTGCAGCTCGGCGGCGGCGCTGCGAAGCCGGAAAACGACGGGTATGGCGGCGAGGGCCGGGTTGTCGCGCTGCAGCAGCTTGAGCCAGGACGCGAGAGAGTCGCGGCTGTTCGTGCCCGTCACGCACAGCGCGAGCACGCAGCCGTCCTCCTGCTCGTGTACGGTCGCCGCGGCAACCAGCGCTGCTGCCGTTTCCTGCCGCCTCGTTGTCTCCTCGAAGAACAGCTGCCAGTCGGACGGATCTGCGTGTGTGAAAGATATAACGGGTTACATGCGAGACGAGAACGCGAGACGAGAGCGAGCCCACTGAAATCAATGATGTGTATAATATACATGTGTGATCGATGTAGCTGGGGGTAGCTTCATGCACAACAAGGCTGCATCCCAGCTCTACCACCCACAGTCAGGTGAACCGAGAACGAGTAGATTTGATATTTCGTTTATTGATAACCACGCATACCCCGTCATTTAGCTGTACTGATTTTGCGAACAGTGAAATTAGGCAGCAGAATAAAAAATTTCTTCGAGTGCTTTCAATATACTTTGTCTGCTGTGAAGCAGCTTTGGGGCACAAATTAAAGGAAAGTATCGGTATCTCTCGCCGCAGGCAATTCACGAAAACGTAATCTAAACACTGAGCTCAGCCAGCAGAACAATCGATGCGTCTTATTCCGTATCGCAAAAAATTCCCTCGCGTGAATCTACGCACCTTCCGCATCTTCTTCCTCTTGTGTGCGTTTCCTGCGCGTAGCGTCCTCCTCTTTCGGGTCGGCTTTCAGCACAAAGTAGTGCACCCACTTGTTACGCAGCCACAGCTTGAACGCGCCCTCTACAAACACAGGAACGTCTGTCGGATGCCGGGCGATCAGTCTCATCTGCTCGGGCGCTTGCGCGGTGACGACGAACGTTCGATCGACTGCCGAGTCAGGCAGGTCGTCCTCCTGTAGACGACATAGACGACTCGGTTAATAATTCATGACAAAATCAGCATGGAATTCAAATTCAGAAAAAAAATCAAGTTCGAAAATTTAGTACGTAGATTCATTGATTCAGTGTTGCTCAATAACGATTGCAAGTGGAAAGTAGACCTTCTCGTCCCAACCTTCGGCTAACGAACATGACTTTTGATTTTGTAACCGTAAAGCAGTAAAGTTAAGTAATTAAGTTAAGTAAGTAAGCGTAAAGCTCTTTGCTTTGACCCGTAAGCAATGGGGCAATAGGACTACTGCTTCTGCCTATTGTCATTATCATATATAGTGAACTCTCTCTGTACAGAAACGTCTTCTTTCAAGATTAACGCGGGCTGCCGCTACAGCGGCGCCCCCTATTCTACGCAACTCACCCTACGCCCCCTGCACCGTGTAATTCACCCTGTACACAGCACGAGGGTCGCTGCAACATCAGCGCCCCCTGCACCCGCACCACACTATGCTTGTCTAACTCACGTCATTTAGACCTGCTGCTACTGCTACTGCTTTGCCCTGCTTTCACATATGATAAGTGAACAACTCTTCCTGTACAGAAACGTCTCTTACAAGATTGAAACACAAGTTGGCGGCGCCCCCTACCCGCACGACTCACCCTGTACACGTCGATCTTGTTTTCGGCGTCGACGGCGATGCGGCGCAGCGCGAGGACGGCGAGGTCAGCGGGGTCGTCGGGCAGCGCGCGCGGCAGCGGGAACGGACTGATGTGCTTGAACTTCGGCATCCAGTAGAGCATGCGCTGGAACTTGCGGACGGGGTGGCCGTCTCCGCCGAAGCGCGCGTGCAGCATCCGTCCCATCTCGTCGTCCGGACACACGCCTGCGCGCGGAGAGACAGACAGCGCCATCTAGAGGCCGGCAGGTGTGCGGAGAGAGGGGGCGCCATCTAGAGGCCGGCAGGTGTGCGGAGAGAGGGGGCGTTATCTAGAGGCCGGCAGGTGTGCGGAGAGAGGGGGTGTTATCTAGAGCAGGGGTTCTTAACCAAAGGGGTCCGTGGATGGGCTTCAGGGGGTCCGTGAGCCGCATTGTATGCAAAATTTCGTGTTTATGTGCTTCTGTACATTTTTCTGGAGAGGGGTCCGTAGCTTTCACCTGATTCTCAAAGGGGTCTACGACTCAAAAAAGGTTAAGAACCACTGGCTTAGAGGCGGCGGGTTATGCAGAGAGAAGGGCGCCATCTAGATGCCAACGCATGCAGAGCGGAATTGTCGCCTGGAGGCCGGTGGGCGTGTGGAGCACTGACATCTGATCTGTTCTAGGGGAAACGTATTAGCCAGCGAGCCGTGCAGCCGTGATTTGCACGGTCAGTTTTTAAACTGCACGGCCAAAAACGTGTAGCTCGGCCTAAAATATTGATCTAAAGACACACATACAAAAAAATTGCACTCCCAAATATTTTTTCTGGACTCCCACAGTACTCATTCCTGGCTAATACCCTGTCTAAGGGTGTGTGTCAAATGTGCTTGCTTGGTTTGTCTGAGCATGCTGTTTGTCCCAGAACACATTGTAAACTCATTTATTCACGCATTTGACGCTTAACTTAAGCTTACTAACAGCAAAGCTATCTAATTGAAGACGCGCACCCTGGCTGCTATGCAAGTCGGGAGAACAGAGCCAACCGAAATCGTGATTTTTTTTGGACAGACTTGCTTGTAATACAGTTGCTTTTTGTTAAAAAAGTGGCACAAGTGGGAGGTTAGAGTAGCCCACAATGAATACAGCCAAGTGCTAATAAAACATGCATTATTAGCCCTTAATACACCACCTAGTACATACCATTATCCTCCATATGCTGTAAGATATCTACAGCACATTCCTGCTGCTTCGGGTAGTGAATAAACCCAGCCTGCAGCGAAAACAACTCAATAATTAATTACGTCGAACCATACAGAAGACCGACATACAAGGACCGACTACAAGGACCGACACGGACCAAGGACCGACAAACCAAGGACCGACATACAAAGACCGACATTACAAGGCCGACATACAAGACGACATACAAGGCCGACCCATACAAGGACCGACATACAAAGACCGACATACAAGGACCGACATACAAGAACCGACATACAAAGACCGACATACAGGACCGACATACAAAGACCGACATACAAAGGCGACATACAAGGACCGACATACAAGGAACCGACATACAGGACCGACATACAAGGACCGACATACAAGGACCGACATCAAAGACCGACATACAAGGACCGACATACAAGAACCGACATACAAAGACCGACATACAAGGACCGACATACGAGGACCGACATACAAAGACCGACATACAAAGACCGACATACAAGACCGACAACACAGGAATACAAGACCGACATACAAGGACCGAATACAAAGACCGACATACAAGGACCGACACATACAAAGACCGACATACAAGGACCGACATACAAGGACCGACATACAAAGACCGACATACAAGGACCGACATACAAGGACCGACATGCAAGAACTGACATGCAAGGACCGACATGTAAGGACCGACAACCAAGGACCGACATACACAGGGCTTGAAACTAACCTAAAAGGTCCACTAGCCAGCAGGGCTAGTGACCTGTAAAATCTACTAGCCCTTAAAATATCTCCCAGCCCTTACTTTTCTGAAGTGCCGCGCTGAGGCTACGCAGTGAGTAAAATTTTGCCATTGCGGGGGCGTGGTGGAAGGGGGGGGTGGGTGGTGGATCTGGGTTTTGATTTTAGATGCTCCGAGATGCATTCTGGCGAAATCCTTGATTGTGAAAAATTTAGATTCAGCACATTTCAGGTATATATATATATATTATATATATATATATATATATATAGTATATATATATATATTATAAATACATAATATATATATTATATATCAAGGCTAATAAATACCTAGAGTGTACAACGGGAAATAGTGGCCATTTCACGGCAATATTATTCTAGTTTGTATGCGGTTCTAGACTAAGTTACATGGTATTGCGTTAAGCAGCATTCTTTGCTCTCTAAAATAAGAGCCAACCGCTTGTCTCTACGCATACTCCTAGGCCGAGATATTGGAGCGTAATCATGCCTCCCACAGGCCTCAGTAGAATAATAGGCCGTGAAATAGCACTATTTCCCAGTTTTTCCATTGTACACTCTAGGTGTATATTATATCTTGATTATATAAGCAGTGCTCAATTTTAAGGTTTTTTTGGGTTGTCCGGAGGACAACAAGAGAGTAGCATATGTGTTGTCCCTCAAGAGTTTTGGTTGTCCGGGATATTATTTAAACATGTGCTGCATGCGCTCCTGCTCACGTGATGCTCAGTGCTGTAAAGCAAAAGGCCTAATCATGTACATTTTGTACGTATTGCAGTGACAGCAGACATGGCCATTCGCATTGTTTCACTCATTATATGAAGATAATAAATATATGTAATGTGGTAAATGATGCTGGGATCAATGACGTATAATAATAGTAATTAAAAGTTGGCATGAATTTATTTCATAACACCTTACATTAAGTTAACTAATGTGTACTAATAGTACTAAATAATACTACTAACATTACTAACATTACTAACAGCTGTGTAAGTCACAGATGAGAAAATTGAAAATTGACACGAAACATTGTGTTAATAATTGGTTAAAAACATTGTGTTAATAAACGAACATTGTGTTGTTAAACACGTGATGTTATACTTTGTTATCAAGGAAGCCAGACAATGCTCTAGACATGTACGTTGGCAGCGTATTGTGCCAACCCTGGCCGTATGTAAAATGAACAGCGCGCATTATGAATATAAAAATTCCACTCGCCACACAGGGCTGGTCAGACCAGACATTCTACTAGCCCTTACTGATTTCTACTAGCCTCGGCGAGCGGGCGGAGCGTTAGTTTCAAGCCCTGAACACTTACCGAGGAACACGTCTCCTTATTGCGTTGCTCTCGGCGAACTCATCGAACAGCTTCTGTCTGAGGACGACGCTCTTCGCTTGCGATGCGGTTTCATGCCGACTCTTCTTCTCCTTCAGTGCAGCCGACGTGTGAAGGCTCCTCGTGCATCGAGGCGTGACCTCCGCATGACCCCACATCGACGGCTGAACGATCGTCACCAGCACGCGTCGCTGCGAGAGAGAAAGGGCGCTCGTTTACACCACAGACAACGATTATGAATTAATGAGTGGCTGCGAGTTTAGAGAGAGAAGGCTGCTCGATTTACACACAGACAACGATTATGATTATGAGTTGGCTGTGAGTTTTAGAGGAGAGAAGGCTGCCTCGATTTAACACACAGACACGATTATGTCATGTGTGCTGCGAGTTTCAGAGAAAGAGGCTGCTCGATTTATGCACAGACAGCGATTATATAATAAGCGCGAGAGAGAGAGACAGACATGTATACAGATAAATAGGGGTTAGAATGATTTATCATACTGGACATATGTTGGTGTATGGAACAGAGCCAGCTCCATACATCCTGAGTTGATAGCACTTAATACAAACTCTAATCATAGTCAATGACTGCAGCTGCCTCTTCTGAAATACACAAATATCAGATTATACTACATGAACAACCCCCTTGTGAAAAGTTATGCTTGTGCATAGAGTTCTCACTAGTTAATATATTGGCACCCTATTAATTTATCCACTACCAACATCATCACAATTTGAAACGCTTATTGTCGATATTTCGAATCATGCAGTGAATGAAATTAAAACTAAAACAGAAAAAAATAATTAATAAACACAATGCATGGACACTTCAGGCATTTCATATGTATCATAAACATTTAAACACCTACAGGTAAGCATAGTAATCAGGTTAGCCTTCGTTGGGTGGTACAACCATGGCTCTAGAATGGATTGCTTCCTTCGGTTTCGGCTTTGAAGCGGACCACTCATAAGCTAATATACTGATAGGCAAAGCTCACTAAAGCAACAGCCTGTGGTATACAGAGTGAACTGCCGTGGCTTCTCAGTTTTCGTCCAAACTTTTGTCAAGGTCTATGAGTGGCTGGTAGTACGATTCATCAAATTCGCGGCTGCCTTGTCTTGTTCTGACGAGACATCTTTAGCTGTGTGAGTGAAACAAGTAAAACACTGTACAAGCTAATTACGCATGCTGCCAACATTGAGTTAGAGTGAGATTTATGCAAGGGAGCGGAGCGACCAGGAGCGTGGATGGTTGGGAGGGGGGGGGGCACCCCTCCCACACTAGGGACTTTTGCATTTTCACATTGAAATTGTGCCATTCTGGTGCATACTTAAGTGAGTTTTTAAACATACACATGTTTGTAATGCAATACACTGTAGTTCTGCTTTTAGATGAATTAGGTACATGTATATGGATGGCTCGAAACAACACAATCACTAGATCCTGCTTGGAATTGTATTTATATATGAACCTCTACTGTTCGGCCAAGTAAGGACGCGAGATCTAGAACCGTTCAGCGAATTGAAATGCTCTAAAGTATACTTCGGTTTTCTATCTGTTTGTTTCTGTATGCGTGAGAATTACAGCAGACGGAGTGAGAGCGTGAGATTAGCTTCTATACCGCGAGTCGCACGCCGAATGCGTGAGTTGGCAGCCCTGGATTAATTACAGCTAGTTTACACGGTAGATTTATGAAGATTCAGACAAAAATAACCTGATAGAGGAGATGTACAGAAACTTCAAATGACAAAGGAAATATTGGCAACACACAATCCATGTGCAGCAGCAAATTTGTCAGTTGAAAGCATAAACATGATAGGTGCCTACAAACATGAGCCCGAAATGGATTTGGCTGGCTAAAAATAATATTGTAAATAAAACTAGCGGCATTAGGTGTTGAGACAGAGAAAGCAGGTAGAGGATTAATAATAATATAGTTAAATTAAATTAAGGATAATTATATTTATAATTTATATATTTAAACTTGAAGACCACAACACAATCTGAATCTAGACTTTGTCTAAGTTTGTCGATTACAACAAAATTACATTCTTAGCCCTACAATTCTCCACCAATAATTTGTG